CTCTCTCTCTCTCTCTCTCTCTCTCTCTCTCTCTCTCTCTCTCTCTCTCTCTCTCTCTCTCTCTCTCTCTCTATCTATCTCTATCTCTATCTTTCGCCGGATATTTCTAAATAAATATGTTTTTAATAAGCGTTGGTCGAATCGAGGAATTATCTGCAGTGCCCTCTTGTATGTTTTTGCGTTAAAAGAAAATTAGATTTCTCCACAGCCGCATCGGCAGACATGTTGTCAGACAGTTTTCTCACTTCGATCTAGTTTGATATTAATTCGCAGATAAATTAGCTGTTTGAAAAGACAAATCAAATTTAATTCCGTCAACGAAAATCTTTTCTTACGTCAAATGTTCCAAGACAATTAGCACGCACGAAGTTTTCAAGTTCAAGTAGCTAAATATTTTTTTTTAATAATACAGAATGCGGCTTTAGCAATGATTGGGTTTTCTTGAAAATTTACTGCCAGAGGATCTATCAATTCAGGCAAACAGGCTGCTCCGATCGACTCAAAATGCATCGACCGATTATCGAGATCGAGGTTAAAGACTATATTAACTTGTTCAAACATCGCAATCAATAAACTCGCGGCGTTAAAGAATTCAATAGCAAACCGTGTCACATCACTAACAGTCCCGACGAGCGACGGTGCATGAGAGTATCGCCGATATCTGTTTTCCAGAACGGCGACATGGCTCGGTGGCTGGCTCAGTGGCGAATTGGGCCAAGAAGAAGCCGACGCCTCGGTTCGAAAGAGGATCGATGCAAAGTGTCGAACTCGAGCGAGGAGGCTTTCGCCTGCACTTTTGACGTCGACGCTCGCACCTCGCCCTTCCTGCGCCGGGAGTGAGTCGGCGGGCTCGAGCAACTCGCGCGGCAGACAGAAACGGAATAGCCGTGCCGTGACATCCTGATAAAAGCAGGAAGGAGAGAACGGCGGAACGACGGGGATGAAGGATTCCACGGGGTGTCGAGCAACGGGGACGGACTGTGGTCGCTCCGCCTATCGTACCGCCCACGTCGGTGGTTGTTGTTGCCTTCCGTTCCCTCGTCCTTCACCCTTCGCGCAGCTGGAACCTTCTCGCAGCTCGCGAGCAGGCAGCGCACACACGTCATCCTCACCAGCGGCGAACGGCGCCTGCAACCGTCGCCCCGGGGTCACCCGTGATCCATTCGCGACCATTGGTGATCGTAGGACTCGTCAACATTAGGGTTTTCCTTGGAAGTGTGATCCAAATCGTGTATTGGATGTGACCTCAGCCGGAAAATAATGGCTTAATTTGGACCTCAGAGCAATTAAGATCGTTCAATTGAAATTTTAAGGTTGTTGAGAAACAAGCGAACAAATTGAGAAACAACAGCGAAGAATCGGTTCCAAGGATAAATTGTAACCAGAAGAAGCAGCCAGTCAGGAGGGACTCTTCGCTGGATGAGAATGACCAATCTCGATGATGTTTAGACAACATCGCTCCCGGTTCAAAGTGATCCTTCAAGATCGAGTCTCCGGTTTATAATTGGTGATCTCGCAAGAAGAATTTGAAGTCAAAATCGCGGTGATTACGAGTAAATTAGTAATGAAACAGAAGGACCGTTTCAACATTAGTGTGAACTGTTGGTGTTTATGAAGGTGGACATGGAATGTGAATTGATTAGAGCGCGGAAACTGGGAATGTCGATAATGCTGATGAACAATGGAGATAGTGTGAAGTTCAACATCGATGTTTTGGTTATCGCACTGTCTCGGATGCTCCATTTTCACAATGAAGACCAGGGACTCTTGAACTGGGTGACGTCGATCCGTGTCGCGATGTGCGCAATTTGAAATTACCCATAACAAAATTGCGCAATTATCCAGGACAGTATGAAGAACACGCATCGTGGCTGATGGGAAGAGACTGTGCGCGAAATTCGATCTATAATCGATGTTGCACGTTTGATAGCTAGTTGGAAATCGATGAAAGTGTTTGGGCTGATAGGAAGGGAGTCGTGTTGTGAGCTGTGTTGCCGGCATCGAGATTAGACAGTGGCGAAATTTCCACAATTTCTGTAAGTATGCATAACAAAGGAAGCAAACGCTTTGATTTACTTACTTAGAAATTATTAATAAACTGATGCACGGAGCACTATAAATTTTATTTTATATTACTTATATCTTGCTAGTTACCACTGAACTACTTTTGAAACAACAACTCTTTTCACAGAAAAATAGGCATTTGTAATGTGTTTGTGAAACAAGTATTATTTATGTCAAACAACATGTCAGTAATATATAATAAATATAAATGTATTGTTACCATTGTTATTATAAAAAGACAGGCTGGTAACAATATATGATCGATTGATTTATTTTTACATGACAAATACGTTAAAAATTGCATGATATTTCGTTTGTGATAATACAACGCACTCGTAGACGCACACATGCAAAAACTAAAAAAGACTCTGTGAGATCAAAGATTCTGTGTAATTAACCAGATTTCATGGACGAACTAAAAGAGAAAAGGTTCCACTTTCCGTATCCAGAAAGTATTAAATGGATTAAAACGCCCGTCGCCGTCGCGTCCCACTCTCTCGCGCTGTAAACGCGACGTCACGCGTAATTCTTAAATCCATATGAAGAAGACATGAACCTTTGAAAAGTATACAATTTACATGTAATTATTAAATTATTCTTTGATAGAAGAACGAGTAGTCTCTATTCCAGTGAGGATTCGTTAGTCTTAATTATATTTCAATAGATTTCACAGGATATAGAAGAAGTAAATATGAAGATGTCATAACGTTTTGCATAAGGATTTTATTTTTGGATATTATTTTGTTAATATCAGAATAAAAAATTATTGATGCACGTTAAAAGAAATGCTAAAATATCAGAAAATAAAGAGAGAGAGAGAATACAAACTTGTACGAAACAAATATTGTGAACGTACCATATGCAGAGATAATTGATTTCTTCAAACCCAGACAGTTCACTTTTATCGCAACAGCTTCGCCTATCGCAACGTTATCACAACGTCTACAAAATTAACTTCCTATATAATACTATCCATCGCTTCGTCACTCTTCCGTTTTCTTATCGGATACCCAACGACCGCGATTCGGTCTCAAGCTCGACATCATCGCGAGACGAGTTGTGTCTCCAGCCAGAAGAAACAAAAGCAGAAGAAGAAAAAGAAGAAGGAGATATCGGCGCGAACAATGCTCATGATTAACTGCGTCGCCCATCTGCGCTCTATAAACACACGGCGACGGCCTGCCTTTTCATCTTCTCTACCCCTACCAACTATTTCGTCGCACTACTACACGATGTATCCTACTAACGGCGAAAAATATTTAGCATCCGGGAGTATCCCGCGAACAGTAGCACGGCGATCGTCAAGAGGGGTCCGCGACAATTCGCGTGGCCGTAGCACAACGCACGCGGTGCTCGCAAACAACAAAACGCACGTTCGAAGCGGCAACGGCGCGGCGGTGAGTGCCACTGGAAATTAACGAACAATTAGCCAACCCCGTTCGTGTTTTATAAACATGGTGCTCCCATCGACGGCCATTATTTTCGAGGATTCGCTCGCCTGCCTGCTTGCCTCTGCCTACCTACCTAGCTACCTACCTACATGCGGGCGACTGCCTTCATGTTCGAGCGTGTCCGAAGTATCCGTGTATTCGAGCGAGTACTTAGGGCTTTCGAGCACCGCGTCACGTAGGGGGCAAGGGAGAGGGAGCTCACGAGGGGTTCTTGTAGTGTTTCGTTGCGCTTAAAAGCGCGGGGGGTTGCAGAGCGGCGCGGAAAGCGAGGCGGCTTTGGTGTTGCAGCCTCTTCAAACCTCGTGCAAACACTCTGGAGCGGAGCGTTCGCCTGGTACGGCGATTAATATCCCAATAAGGCCTCGTTCACCGAGCTCATTCGACCGCGCAGCTTCGTTGTTTATATTCATTGTATCGCCTCCTCTATCGCGGGATAAATTGCCTTGATAACTGAGTCGTCGCGGACGATACACCGATTCTTTGTTTCGACACTTCCTCCAATGATCGGGAATCAGAGAAAGGGTCGCGCTATATAGGAGAAGTGTCCTATTCCGCGTTTGTGGGCAAGAAAAAATGCGTTTGTGCCGCATTATAATAAACATTTTGGTAATTTCATTTTGTCCGCAAATTATCACCTTATAAAGAAATTTGTCGATAATAAGAATCCATAATTGTAACATTATAGAAAGTAAATATATACGCAAAGAGAATTTTTTATGATAAAAATTGCTATATAGGGTTTTGTAAACGAGGAACACACAGATCGACATTCTGCAATAACTATCTTTTCATTTAATAGGTACTATTAGGAACTGAAGTGAGCTATTAAAAGTTTTATTATGTTTTTAGTAAATCTGCTATGTTTCTAGCGAAATTTATTATGTTCTTTAGTAAGATAGACCTTAGTGGCATTTTGTTCCTACACTAAGAAAAAAATGGTTGATTTAACTAAAATTATAAAATTATCTTTTGCCGCAACTATATTATTCCAGCTTCTTCTCTTTTGAATAAAGAGAAATGTATTTATTTGCACACTTATGTAATTATGTTAGGAATCTCAGTAAAAAATGGTAGTAGTAACATGCATATAAGATTATTATCACTTATTATAATAGAATTCGATAAAAAATTACTTTCTTGATCATAATTTTTCATAGTATTTCTCCATGTGATAGTTACGTATATCAAACATTTTTTATTAGTGCGTCCTGTTAAAAATATAATACAACTGGAAAGAATTTATATGAAAAACTATAAAATTCTCGTCGTATAAAGATAGATTTACGGATTTATATGCAAGTAGGATGTTTGTTTCTGTATATATAAATATGATCTAAACGAGCTCTCGAAAAATCTACCGAGAGGCAAATATTTTTTCACGATACGTGCGACCGACAAAGTGTTAAGATGTGATTGATTAATTTAGAATTACGATTTATAATGTAAGACGTTCCTCGCCGTCCACGTATGCGATTTGCGAATGTCGTTTGAGAGAAAGGCGGCGACGGGTCTCTTATTTTTGAAAGTAACGAAAACGTGTCACGGATAAGTCTCTTATATCGCGCGATGACTAGGCTCGTTTCCGAGCCGCGATCGCGCGCGATTTCGGTCTTCGTCCACGTGTTACGGGTGCACGTCAAATTTGTCATCGGATATTACGAGCGCACCTGACGAATCTACAACGGCTGTGTAGCCAAGTTTAATGCGCGCGATTAGCATATTTATCGGGCGCGCTGTATCATTTCGCTCGTCGGTGTTAAAACGGGGCGACACGCTGCGACGTTAATTGCCGGCGCTGAGATATGACCGGTCGAAAAACTTGATATCGCTTTATTGGTCAATCCGCCCAATTATGCTCGACGAGTGTTAAAGCACCCACCTTTACTTTACGCGAGTTTTATTGCGATCTAAGTAGAGTGAAATTTTGCGCTTGCGGAAGATCACTTAATTAATGCCGTTGGGCGTAAATTCGCCGGTTGCGGAATGGACGGCTGCCCTCTCGGAAATTGGACAATTTAGTCCAATTTAGGAGACAGTGCTTCGAATGATAGGTTTCTTTACTCTCGACGTAAGATTCCACGATTGATATTTAAAATATCTCGAATCTCGAATAGATTACCTAAAAAAGAAATCTAATTGCAAGATGTTATTTCTTATAATCTCATATTCTAAGTAAAAGTTTTTACCGAAAGGATATTCCTCTTCTAATGTGAAATGGATATTAATCGGAAAATTCTATCAAATATTATTCCAGCTTCTTCTCTTTTGAATAGAGAGAAATGTATTTACTTGTACACTTATGTAATTACGTTAGGAATCTCAATAAATTTTGGGGATAATTACACGGAAACACCTTTGCGATTTGGCAATAACGAGAAAAGATCGTACGAGAACGATCGCTCGGAAACGAGACAATAGACACACGAGGAGATACACTGTTATGTAAGCCGCAAGTAAAAAAAAAATTGTTCAGTTTCACCCCCACCCGTTGCTCGCATGCAACGGAAGAGAGCGCGAGAACGTCCTCGAATTCAATGGAACCGCCGCGACTTCCTTTCTCGCTTTATTTTCCCCGGCGTGGAGTCTTGGGCATTATTACGCTACTTGATTTCGCATCGAGCCAGCTGTCTCCGATTATTCGCTATAGAAATTTCGGGGATTCCGGTTCAAAGGGGACCCTGGCATCCTCGGCTAATATTTGAGGAGGCCCCGCAGTCTTGGGTCTTACCGGACGTTGCGCGGGCTTTCTCGTTCTACGTTCATCCTCGAGCCCTTTTCTCGACGAATAGACACTTCTCGGTTATGCAGTCGCAGGGAGCGTCATATTGTGCTCGAGCAGTCGACGGACAATTGTTATCGCCGCAGGCTTAAACGGATACTTAGCATTCGTTGCAAAACTGATTTTTACAGTCCGCTGTACCCTTCGTCCCTTCTAAATATAAACGAGAGATATTTTTTCTCGATCGCAAAAACTTCGGTTTTATTCGATTAACATTACGTCGCGGTTAATATATCGCAACTTTCGATCTTGCAAAATTAATGAGGTAACGCGCTTCGCTGATTAGAGATATCCCCGGTTCGAGGAATTCGTCCTCCGACGGCGCCACCCCTTGCGAAATGCCTTTTCATCGAGTGATCCCATGAGAAACGGTGCGGAGCGACGAAGCTCGGGGGAGATCACGCGAACCGGAAGAGTAAACCGAAGTATTCTAAGTATCCGGACGGTAGGGACCGAATCATTGCCCGCGGAGTTTGAGGATCGTGGTTTAAGTTTTCTACAACTACGCCTTCCCACCGTATATCTCCATCTCTTCTTCGTCCGACACTTTGCTTCGTACCGAGAGAACCCTGGCGATAGTTAGTTCGATAACGTTCTCGGAGCCAGGATCTTTCTTCTACAATTACTGTACAATTCAGTTTAAATCGAAAGCAAATATATTTACTTTGCGCCGATGTGTTCGGGCAACAATTCTATGTATAATGATAGTAATAATGATGTTACTTTATTGTGTGTAGACGCT